ATTGATTCACAATGCCTACTCTCTGTGTCTAATCGCCTACACTCGCCCGCGCGGCTGTGTCCATGCCCCACACTCCAGCTCCTGGCTCTTTTCACTGGCAGTCCCGGCTGGCTTAGATCTCCGTAGCCGGATACTTTCCTGCACTTCCTTGGCCTCCCAGCCCTCCAGCCTTAAAAGGCAGCTGCTACTGCTTGCTTCTTATCTTATTCCAAAAAATTTCTTAGCTCTTTCTTCAGCTTCAGCTGTGTTTTTCTCCTTAATAAATACCTGAATTTACATATCCGGTCTGCTATCCCCATAACAGTTTAAAATACACTTTGCCCCCTTCTTCACCCCAAAGCAGCTGTTTTGATCTTTCTACTATGCCTGATTTAACTCATGATATATTATAAAGGATTCATCATTACCAATATCCTTGTATATTGTATTTCTGATTAACAATCTTATATATTGTATTTCTGGTTGAGAGCTTTTGCTTCCATATTAAAATAACTTCATTACTATTTATTAGTCTAAATTTAGCAGCGATAAAGCACAAAGTTTCAAGCCTGTAAGACTTATGCCGGGCGGTGGTGGCGTACGCCTTTAATCCCAGCACTCGGGAGGCAGAGGCAGGCGGATCTCTGTGAGTTCAAGACCAGCCTGGTCTACAAGAGCTAGTTCCAGGACAGGCTCCAAAACCACAGAGAAACCCTGTCTCGAAAAACCACACACACAAAAAAGACTTATAAACTATAAAAAATAACTACTTAAATCATAAACTATTAAAGATAATTAAATACAGCCTAATGATTAATTACCTAAATAATTGTTTGGATGACTTATTTAATTATTGTACTATGTGGATATATGTATAATATATATTTATACAACATACAATACATACATATATAATAAATTCAAATAAAAAATAAACTGTTAAAGATAAGTTGTATAATATAAACTATACAACTTACTAAAAATTTACTTAAGTTATAAGCTATTAAGAATTCAAAATACAAATTATTGACAAATATTTAAATTTTATTCAAATATATTCAAAGATTATTTGAATAATAAAATTCAAAGATTATTTGAATATATTCTCATATATATTTAAAACTCTATTTATAAACATATTATTGATGAGTCTACAATAGGTGAATCTAAAGAAGCTAAGTAAGAAGGGGAACCCAAGGAAAAACATATAGTTATCCTCTTGGCTAAGGGAAGTAGACAAAATTGCCGGGGAGAAAATTGGGATCTTGGGGTGGGGAGGGTTGGGAGTAAGGGGAGATGGGGAGAGAAAAGTTAGAAGGGAAGGAGGTCGGGCCTTGGGAAAGCAGGAGGATTGGGATAAAGGAAGGTTGGACAAGGGAGCACGGGACCACAATTCTTAGTTAAGAGAACCACTTTAGGGTTGGCAAGAGACCTGACCCTAGAGGGGCTCCCAGGTGCCCAAGCTGAGGTCCCCAGTTAGTTCCTTGGGCAGTTGAGAATAGGGAACCTGAAATGACCCTATCCTTGAGCAATACTGACGAATATCTTGCATATCATCATAGAACCTTCATCTGGTGATGGATGGAGATAGAGACAGAGACCCACACTGGAGCACTGGACTGAGCTCCCAAAGTCCCAAGGAGGAGCAGAAGGAGGGAGAACATGAGCAAAGAAGTCGGGACCACGAGGGATGCACCCACCCACTGAGACAGTGGAGCTGATCTATTGAGAGCTCACCAAGACCAGCTGGACTGTGACTGAAAAAGCATGGGATAAAACTGGACTCTCTGAACATGGCGAACTATGAGGGCTGATGAGACGCAAAGGACAATGGCACGGGGGTTTGATCCTACGTAATGTGATGGCTTTGTGGGAGTCCAGCCAGTTTGGATGTTCACCTTCCTAGATATGGACGGAGGTGGGAGGTCCTAGGTCTTACCACAGGGCAGAAAACCCTGACTGCTCTTTGGACTGGAGAGGGAGGGGGAAAGGAGTGGGGGGAGGGGGAGAAGGGTGGGAGGAGGGGGCGTAGGGGGGGAGGAGGGGGAGGGAAATGGGAGGCTGGGAGGAGGTGGAAACTTGTTTTTTTTTTCTCCTTTTCTCAATAAAAAAAAAAAATAAAAAAAAATAATTCCTTACTTAGATCCCCACCATTTAAAATGTTTAAACCTCTCATAAGCAAAACTATGCCGTGTTCTAGTTTCTGCTAAGGCTCAATTTTAATTATGTATACTTTGGAGTAAGTGCCTTCCTTAATCTACTAAAAGACAGGGTCAATTCTCCAAATTACTCCTTTCCAAAAATAATCTCAAAACCTAAATTCAACATCTATAATCATTGCCCCTATAAAACCAAGGCTAGATATACTATCTAGTCACAAGCTTAGTATTTCATATTCCCTTTAATTATTTTTTAAATATAAAATGTAAAAATTCTCCTGATTTTAGCTGGGCGGTGGTGGAACACACCTTTAATACCAGCACTCGGGAGGCAGTGGCAGGTGGATCTCTGTGAGTTCAGGGACAGACTGATCTACAGAGCTAGTTCCAGGACAGGTTTCGAAGCTACAGAGAAACCCTGTCTGGAAAAACTAAAAAATAAATAAATAAATTCTGATTATGATGGCGATAGCTCTTTAATTTATATACATACAGCCTTCTAAACAAGGAAGGGGATATTACTGCTTTTAATCAAAATTAGTTTTAGGTTTCCAAACTTCTACTATGACATATTTGCCTCTTAAGAGTTTTTATGAGCTCATAAGAACCTTATGTTTATAAGGTTCTTACGAGCTTCCAGAGATCAGTCTCTATCCACCACATCATCACAGGGAAAATGAACTCAAATGTGTATTACTTGTCTACAGTTTGTCTTCTCCCCTGCCTATTTCTTTGGGGAGAAGGGGGAGGACTGTCCCTCTCTCTCTGGCCTGGAATGCCCTTCTCTCATCTGCCAAAACCTTGCACTTCAAAATTCCAAGTGTGCACCCAAGAGAAAAAGTTTCCTCTTCGGGATTCCTTCACTTCATGTTCTGCCATTAACATCTACTTATTCCACCAGATTTATAATCATTTTAGAAGTGTTCCTGACTTCTCTTCCTCTGGCCACTGCAGCTGTCTTGGCAGCTCCTCTGCGCCCCGCCCTCTCACTCCAAGAGGATCTATTGCATGTTCTCCAGACACAGATGGCCCAAAACTGCCTGCTTGTCTCAGAGAGCCTGAAACAGCCTGATCTTCCCGGGTTTCCACTGTGTTCCAGTGGAAAGACAAGACCCCCAACTTCGCAAGCAACCACGAGAGGTCTCTACATCCTGTTCCCACACTGAACTCTACAGCCCAGGGACCACACTGCCTTTAAAAAACGTTCTATTACTAATTACACAGATTCTTCCTATGATCCTATAGGTTAGTACACAAAAAAATCTTTTTTTTCTCTTCTTAAAATTCTGTACTGACTTAAAGCCCCATCCTTAATTAATCCTCCTTGTATCTGCTGGGGAGCCTCAGTTATGGTCCCTCACCATGCAGCACACAGCAGTGAGCCCTGTGCCCAACCTGGGCAGCACGCTCAGCTGGCCCAGTTGTCAGGGGCACAGGTGAGCCGGCCTTGAGAGCATGAGAGCTACAGAGCTGATCCTGCCCATCCCTGGCCCATGGTGCTGCAGGGGCCATGGTATCATCTGGACCAGGGCTGTGGCTGAGGATCAAGTCTGAGTCCATGGCCCCGCCACACCCAGAGACTGTGTTGATGTCTGTACCTTTTGAGAACATCGAAAACAGAGTCGACGTCGGGGTTCTGGGTTGTCACCTGAGGCCATGTTGATTTTTGAGGGCCATACTGCCACACGAGGGTGGGGTGGGGATGCATACTGATGATCTGAGTGACCTGAACGACAATCTGGGACCATGGAGACATCTGGGCCAGGGTTGCTACCAAGGGCCATGTCTGGGTCTGTGGCCCTGAAACAGCCATGGACTGAGTTGATGTCTGTGAATGCTGGTACCAAAAGGGCTCAGATGCCCAGGGTCTGAGACTCATGCTACCATTAGGGCTATACTGACCTGGCCATGATGACCTCTGGGCCTGAGCTGCTGCCCAGGGCTGTATCTGAGTCCATGGTCTTCCCGCAGTTGGGGTCTGTGATGAAGTCCACGGCCCATGTTAGCACAGGTGCTCACTGGAGCCGTGCTGGGTTGAGCCAGCCCCACCCACTGTCCTACCCTCACTGGATACTGCATCTGGAGAGCTGACCTTATCCCCTCAGGGGAGAGTTCGCCCCTGCACTTGGGAAAGACGGTCCCACCCCTCACCACAGGCATGCACCTCACCTAGGCAGCACAGTAGATCTTACTGGGGATGCAGGTAAGAAGGCCCTGAGGGTGAGAGAGCAGTAGAGCCGACCCCGACCCCCTCTTCTGCCAGGTGGTGGCATGAGTGACCAAAATATGTCCTCCTGCCCCCACCCATTCATTACCTTCTGCGACAGCCGAGAGCTAACTCTGGGGTTATGAGAGTGGGATAACTAGCCCCGTCCCTCACCAGCTGCAGCACACAGGAGCACACACAGCTCTATACTCCACATGGGCAGCGGTCTCAGCTGACTCCGTTGCCAGGGGCACAAGCGAGCCAACCTTGAGGGCATGAGTTCTGAAGAGCTGATTCTCCCCCTCCTCCCACTGTATGCCCTTTACAGCAACTGGGAGGGAGGGCCCTGGACCTTGCCTGGGCAACACTGTAGAGCTGGCCCTGGTGATGTCTGGGTGACCCAGATCTGAGGACCTGAGAGCAGAACTGACCCAGCTCCGAGCTGCAGGCAGCACTGGGTAAGCTGGTGGAGGCACTGCTGGAGAGATCACCTGGGCAGTGACCATAAGGGAGCAAACACTTGCAAGACAAGAAGAATGGACGAAAGGGTAAGCTATGACTCAATGGACCACACTACAGACAGCTTCCATGACAAGTTTCTTCTCCTTTGTTTTCTTTTTTCTTTTTTTTTTTTATTTGTCTGATTTGAGGGGGAGGCGGCAAGGGCCGAGGACAGATGGGAGGAGATGGGGAAATAAGTGGGATCAGAATGATGTAAAATCCACAAAGAAACAATAAAAGAAAATATTCAATCTCTTTTAAAAGTACAAGTCTTTCATCTGTGGCCTCCTTTAAAAGTCAAAATTAAATTAAATACGTTCTTCAAGAGAGAAAAACCAGGACACCCACACAATCTGAAGAAAGCAAAACCAAAGTCCAACAGTATAAATAACTCAATTAATTATCTGAGATTCACTCACTATCTCCTGGACTCCTCCAAAGGGTTTGGGTTCCTTATCCGGTTCTGCCCTCCGCAGTACACACAGTTCATCTTCCACACTCTGGCTGACTCCACCCCTCTGCAGCTACTGTTCTTGGTGCTCTTCTCATGGTATTGGCACATACAAAATGCTGGGGTCCCTTGCTGCAACTGGTCTGCACTTTCACCGATATCCTCTCACTGGCTCTCGTCATGATGCCGAGCCTCAATTTCTTCGCATGACCCCTTCAGTCTTGGGCCTTCAAATGCTACAGAAGCATGGTCTCTTCTTGTCACAGTGCCAAGTCACAACTAGTCTCTATTATCCCTTCACGGCTGCAAAACTAATATCACCTTGGTGATGCTTACACATTACCAGGTCCTGCTGCCAACACAAGGTACAGCCATGGCCGTCTCTGGAACACAGCTTTTGTCTGTTGTCAGAAAAAACTTCCCATTAGAGTTTTACCAGGGATGCTGGTCTCTTCTTAATCACTTCAGCTAACAGCATCAATTGTTTTAGTAACAAAAAGATTTCACTTTAGTGCTCTGCTATCTTGTTAATCACAGCTGATATTTTCAGCCCCGGCTAACCAGAACCACAGAATCTTAATTCAAAATAACAAATGGCCCTGACAGCCTTTAAACTTCCTTCTGGAACTCCCCAAGGAGCTTCCATTCTCTGTAGTGCTCTCAACATTCTTACCTTCCAGGTTTTCACAGAACAACATCCCACTGAGCTCTTAACACTCAATGAGATGGCTCTTCTAGCCCAAAGCTGCAGAGTCTTTCCAGAACCCTCCCCCAAATCAGAGTGATGCCCCACTGTGTAGCACCAACATGTCTTAGCGAGGGTTTCTATGGCTACGTCAAAACACCGTGACAAAAAAGCAGATGGGCGAAGAAAATGTTTATTTGGCTCTCCCTCATTGCTGATCATCACTGAAGGAAGTCAGGACAGGATCCACAGGCAGGAGTTGATGCAGAGTCCATGAAGATGTGTTGCTTATTGGCTTGCTTCTCCTGGCTTGCTCAGCCTGCTTTCTTATAGAACCCAGGACCACTAGCCTAGGGATGGTATCACCCACCATGGGGTGTGTCCTCCCGCATTGGTCACTAATTGAGAAAATGCCTTAGAGCTGGATCTCATGGAGGCATTTCCTCAACTGTGGTTCCTTCCTTTCTGATGATTCTAGTTTATATCAAGTTGACCCACAAAGCCACGCAGTACAAGCCCTATATGTGGTTCTTTGTGCTTGAATTTAACTAGGCCTGCACCTACAGTGAAGTCTTGTTTTTTTTTTTTTCCTTTGGGCCATGAGTTTGGAATGTACAGAACAAGCTTAAGGCTTAAAGACATTACTTAATAGAATAGGGACAGGTGAATACTGGGTTTGAGAAAAGGGAGCTAATGCACCGAAAATGATAGAGAATGTTGTCCTACATTGCAATGGCATCCCTAGATCGAAGAGGTCAATTTAGAGCTCAATACTAATGTTAATGATTTTGTTCAACTAGTTTTTTGTTGTTTTTGTTTATATTTTACTTGCTTCTTTCTCTTCCTTCCCTTTTTCTTTCCTTCTCGCCTTCCCTTCCTCCTTTCTTCCTTCTTGTTTGATGGGAACATCCAGCTCACTCGCTGAGCTACTGCTTGAGCCAGAAAGCCCCATTCCTGTCTGTCAAAACCCCACTGACTCAAAGAATCTCTGAACAAAGGGAAGGCAACAAAAAGCCCAGTTCTACATTCTTCAGGGATAAGGCAGCTCCTTCCCTGAAGTTGCCAGCTGCCCAAGGCCCCCACTAAAGAATTCAGTTTTTGACCATACTTGGGCATAAACCCAGCTTGTGGCAGACATCACCCATGCCTACAACCTATAGAACCTCCCTGCTTTAGTTCTGGAATGTGACTTCTGCCTCATCTCCTGCCTCAGGCTGGAGAACTCACCCAAGAGTTGCTCTGCTCAAATAACCATGTTCTTTTACTTTTTAATTCGGCTTGATCTGGATTATTATGTCAGTGGGGAAACCTATTTATGGGGTACAGAAAATCTATTATTTTCTTTTTATTTATTTCGGTTTTTCTAGACAGGATTTCTTTTGTGTATTATTGGCTGCCCTTACAACTAGTTCTCTGGAACAGGCTAGCTTCCAGTTTATTGATTATCTTGCTTTTGTCTCAGGAATCAATGATTAAAAGCAGCTGCCACCATACCTGGCTTCTGAAATTGGTTTTGAGTCAGGGTCTCATCGTGTAGCCATGAGTGGCTTTCAATTCACTCCTTTCTTGGGAGTGCAGAAATTATGGGCTTGCACCTGTACTTTCCTGCAATGTTTTGACATTATAGGCTGGAGCGTGGTATGGTTACAGTTGGCCAATCAGGGACCATACTACTAAAAGGAACTTACTTTCCGACCAAGAGCATGAATGGTCATAGTGCGCTTCCCCTACAGACCTTTCTCTCTCTCTCTCTCTCTCTCTCTCTCTCTCTCTCTCTCTCTTTCTCTCTCTCTCTTTCCTTCAGCTTTGTTTAGCAAATAGTTACCCCCAGGACCTCTTGGGGGACACCTAGACACATCACAAGACAAAATGGTGAATGTGCCTTGAGCTGCTAGGAACCAGGGGGCCAGTTTGGGACACTAGCTGAAGTTTGTAATGGCCTGTGAAGTCCACTGGAAGTTGGCCTGTGGCCCAGCAATGCCTTTGCCCATGTACACTTATCCTGCAGGCAACCTGTAGTTCCGACATCCCCCAGACAACATGGGTCCTGTGGCAGCTTGGCCCTCAGATACCAACAGGGGCCCAGATCACAGGGCCATGCGCAGTATCCAACAGTGACAGGAGCCATGGTTGTCAGCACATGCCCCCTTGGCTGTTCCAGGGCCCGGGAACAAGACCTGGGCCTTATTTACAGCCAATGTCCAGCCATCAGCAGGTCATTTATGACAGCCCCTTCCTTCCACAACACTCACCTCTCCAGATGCACCTCTCTCCCCAGCCCACCATCCACTCTGCCTCTCCTTCTCTACCACTTCCCCTCTCTCACAATGATACCCAAATACCCTACCCTGGGGTTCTAGGCAGGGTCTCAAGTGGTGCTTGATTGAGTCCTGACTGCCCAAGCCACTAAGTATGGTGCAGAGCTATTGCTTTTCTTCTCTCCCATGCCCAGGCCTAGAACCCTCAGTCAGCACTTGGTAAAATGCCCGACCAGAGGCAGTGGGCAGCTTCCTAGGTGATGTGTTCTGCCTAGACCAAGAAGTTTAGGGGGAGCCATCTTTGTCCTCCACCAACTCAAGTCTTGTCAGGGACCATGAGGAGCAGGTGGCAACTAGTGTTCAGATGTCAACCCACTAGAGACATGGTTACTGATGGAGGATTAATCCTGTCCAGAAAAAATACTGAACCATCTTTCTATCCCTTATTCACATTGTCCATATAACAGAAGTAAAGAGTAAAATTGACAAATATCTTATTCAGGAGTCTAATAAATTTGGTCTCTAAACATGACCATCAAAGATGTTCTTCATATGAAAATGTTTTGATTAATCTTAGTCATGTATTGAGAGACTGTCCTTCTAGCTAAGTAATTTCCCTCCTGGGGATTTCCACAGTGCCCCCATGAAAATGATAATCACATCTTGACTTGTTGATCACTTAATCTCCACATGGGGGGAATGGAGGAAGGCATGAAATTCTTAACCATTATGGGTCATCCCAGAGAGGAATGTTTGCTGAGAAAGTCTGTTTCCCAAGATAACCTGTCTCCCTTGGACAAATAATTTCAGTAAGGAAGATGATCCAACTTCCTCATTCCCATGCCCCTCCTAGAAAGGTTCAGGTGACTTTCTTCCATTGCACAGCTTCCCTACACAGCAAGAATTTAGGTGCCACTTGCTATGTATCCTAATGACCAGTGTCCTCTGTTTGAAGTCACACTCTGACCTCCTTCCAGCCTTCTGTCCCCAGGCACCCTAAAATCTAACAAATTGAAAACAGTATTTTTTGGGCTCCAAAGAATTCCATCCTGTAAAAGGATTAATTCCTGATTAAGTACTCCTTCATACAATTTCCACTACTTGGAGAAGCCTAGAGCAAAACAATCAACAATGCAATCACAAGACAAAGCACAAGCCCGAGAAAGCTTTTCAAAAAGTCCCATTTTTTTTGCCTCAGAAATGGTTAGTGCAAAAGAAAATTCTAATTTAAAGTTTGCCAAGTGCTGTTGGTTGCAAGAGGTCATGGGAATATACAGCAATGACAACTAGTGTTTAACAAGCTGACCAACCTGAAGAGCCCCACTTGGCAAAGCCGTAGGGTTGATTGTAAATGATTGGTTGTTTTCTGTCAATAACTTTCTCGGGTACCACTACTATACCTCCTTAATAAGAACAGTTGTGGGGTTCTTTCCACAGCCCTTTGATGGTATGTTTTACACTTATAGGGCACACATATAGCTGTGGATGGTTAGAAGGATGATTTCTGCTTAATCTATATAATTTTGATGAACAGAAATAATAGTAGGATATTTTACATTACTCAGACTGACAGAGGATTCTCAGTCACAAAGACAGTCTTTTACACAAACAGCTGTTTGGACTTTAAAGTAGATTCAAAGGAGGCTGGTTGCCCTTAGAGATGAATATTTGGTTGCTCCTAGAGACAAATACATGAGGTCATTTTCCCAGCTGTTTTGCTGATTTAAGGTCAGGATAGAAGCAACTTTATTAGACATAACTGTCTCAGTAATTGATTTTTTGCACATAGTCCCAGTCTCAGGCTCCCAGTCCAGCCAATTGTTTACCATCCGGGAACCCTCACCTACTTAGAGCTACATGCACGGGTCAATGCACCATCACTAGCCTAAGAGAAATTCCATGACTGATTTTGTATTGGGAGAATGGGCCGGGCCCTGAAAATGAGTGTGGCCGTGAGAGGAGCAGCAGTAAGGAGAGAGGTGGCTGTGCGGAGCTCTGCGAGAGCTGCAGCAGAAGTGAGCCAAGTGTGTTTATGTGCTGACCTCATGAGAGATGAAGACGCAGAAGTGTGAGGGAGAGCGGGAAGTGGGAAAAGTGGAGAAGTATGTGTGTGAGAGAGCTATGGAAAGAGCCGCTACTACGTAAGAACCATGTGAAGAGCTGTGTGAGAGAGTATGAAGGAACTGTGCGAAGCGCTGTATGGCGAGAGAGCTGTGTAAATGAGCTATACAAATGAGGTGTACAGCTGTGTAAATGAGCTATGTAAATGAGGTGTACAGCTGTGTAAATGAGCTATGCAAATGAGGTGTACAGCTGTGTAAATGAGCTATGTAAATGAACTGTATAGCTATGGCTGGGTGGAGATTTGTCTATGTGTGAAGACAAGGAAGAGGAAGCTGTACAGAAAAGAGATGTAGCAGAGAAATGTATGCAAAAGACAGATGTGTAGCCATGTGAAAATAGGTATGTATGGCCGTGTAGGAGAGATGTATATTTGTAAAGAGAAACTATATCAGTATATGGAGATACGCAGCTTTGTGCAGACAGAATGAGTCAGAGAGCATTTTTAAGACTCGTTAAAAGAGAAAGTTACCATCTGAAAGTGTGGTCCCTTATTTTCCCCCTTAGATAGAAAAAGTCTAGCTCTCCAATAGATAGGAACTTATTTCTAAAGACCCTAAGATAAGAATGTTCCTAATCCCTCACTACTCTGAGACATTTTTTTTTTTGATACCCTGGAGCTGGCCTCCCCTGATGTGTTGAAAATTCTCTCCTTCTGTGATGAGGAATTCTGGCCCACTCTCACAAAGGGGACAATCCAACCCTCTCCTATTATCATTTTATAAACATCATCATGTTTTAACCAAACACACACACATACAATGAGGAGTTTTTTTCTTGGGGAATATAACCTAATGCCAAAGCTTCGGACACCCTCCACAATCTTCCACACCAGTCTGGACTCAGTCCCACCAACGTGGTAGCTCTCCAAGTTCTGATGAGATCCAAGTTCCACATGCTTTTTCACTACAGCAAGAACGTGGCCTGGACAGAGTTGTTTGCCAGGACAGTACAGGGTGGGGGACCTTGTGCAGCACAGCTCTGGCTTTGTGCACAATGACGGTGCTCTGGAAAGGAGAAAAGCAACACGCTACCCTCTAGGGTAGTCCTGTTGGCACAGTGCCAGGGGAATGTCAAAGCTGCAGAGGCACAGTCTCTGCTATGTCCCAGACAACAACTTAAAATTCCAGGCACTCTGGATACACTCACTCTCTCCTGCCTCTAGTAAATCAAGGTGTCCTGTGGGACTAAAATCAGCAGAAATGAATGTCGGATGGGACCAACACAATACATCTCTCAGCTTCTACACTGGGTTCAAACCCAGCTGCAGTGGTGAGGCTTTCTGAATGCCCATGCACCTCGGTGGACATTTAATGCAAGGAAGTAAAAGAATCCCTGATTGATGAAAAAGACATATGGCTTGGATATTCCTCATTGGAGATCCTGAGGCCAAAATCAGTGCAGTTGGGGTAGAAGGAATTCTGAATTCTCTCCAGATCCAGGAATGAGGAGGAGGGGTCTGCTATGCAAACACAATAATCTGGAATGGGACCTTTTCACACCTTATACTTAAACCTATCCATCTCCTTGTTCAGCTGTGTGTTTTGGTTTTTTGAATCAGAGTCTCTCTATTATGGAGCTAGAGTAGCCTAAAACACACAATGTAGTCTAGGCTAGCTTGGCGTTCAAATCACCTACCTCTTCCTCCAAAGCACCGGGATAAAAGGCTTCATTTACCATGTCCTACTCAACCATTTTATAAAAAGAAAATTAGAATACCAACAAGAGAATACAATTACTAAATGCACAGAAAAATGAAATTATATGGCAGCAATACTCAATAGATTATTCAAGAGTTATAAAGTGGATACTAGGGGGCTGGAGAGATGGCTCAGAGGTTAAGAGCATTGCCTGCTCTTCCAAAGGTCCTGAGTTCAATTCCCAGCAACCACATGGTGGCTCACAACCATCTGTAAAGAGGTCTGGTGCCCTCTTCTGGCCTGCATACATGCACACAGACAGAATATTGTATACATAATAAATAAATAAAGTGGATACTAGATGTTAAGCAAAGTATAGCCAGACTGCAATCCGCAGCTGCAGAGAGGCTAGGTAACAAGGAGGACCAAAGAGGAATGCACGGACCACCCTGGGAAGGGAAATTAGGTGAGATCTCCTGGGTAAACTGGGGGCGAGGTGGGGCAGTAAAGAGGAGAGGATGGGGGATGAGAACATGATGGAAGGATGGTCGAGATCTGGGGAAAGAGTGGGAGAGCAATGAAAGAGATATTTTTATATAGAGAGCCATAATGGGGTTAGGGAGAAACCTGGTACTAGGGAAACTCCCAGGAATCCATAAGGATGACTCCAGCAATAGTTGAGAGGGTGCCTGAATTGGTCTCTCCCTGTGATCAGATTGATTAATATCTAAAGAGTCATCACAGAACCTTCACCTAGTAATTGAGGGAACCAGGTGCAGAGATCCACAACCAACTACCAGGCCAAGGAGGGAATATATGAGCAAGGGAGGTCAAGATCATGAAGATCTGCAGAGACAACAGAACCAACCTTGTGGAAACTCACGAACCCTAGATTGACAGCTGTGGAGCCTACATGGGACCAAACTAAGCCCTCTGCATGTGGGAGACAGTTGTGTAGCTTGCTGTGAGGGTCCCCCAGGAGTGGGGCCAGGATCTATCCCTGGTACATGATCTATCTAGCTTGTTGGAGCCCGTTCCCTATTGTGGAAGGCCATGTTCAGCCTTAATGCAGGGGGGAAAGGTTTGGTTCTGCCCAACTTAATGTGCCAGACTCTATTGACTCCCCAGGGGAGGCCTTACCCTTTGGGAGAAGTGAATGGAGGTTGGGCTGGGGGGACGACGACAAGGGGCTGGTAGGAAGAGGGGTGGGAGGGAGAACTGTGGTTAGAATGTAGAATGAAATTAATAAAAATAAAAAGATAAATGTCCAGACACTTTTAGATGTACTTGGAACCAAAATAAAAGAAAGAAATTCTTCTCCCACACCATAGAGATGAAGAAATTTTTGGCCCCCAAATAGGAGTGATGTCTACATACACAAGAAAAACTCCCAAGCCTCAAGATGGAGCCGACAAAGAGGTCCTTACCTAGTGATGAGGTAGAGACACCTAAGAATTCAACTCTGCTAGCTCGCCATGCTTGCTATTGCTTCTGCTGTAAATAAAGTTATTTCAACACCTTTATATTCACCAGAGGGACAATATTATCTACACATGCATTAAGGTACAATAAGTGAGGTGACCTGAGTTTGCATTGCAGGCGAATCTTCCAGGCTCTGGTGTATCTTTATCTTTCCTGTGTATCTACACAATCTTGTGTAGACTTGTACGTACACAAGAGGGAGCTATGGAGCAGCCTGAAATGCAAGCCATATCTCAACAGTGAAAGGGGGCAGGAAGGAGGGAAATGTGCTCAAGGGAAGATGTCATGGGCCATTAACTTAGCATCAATCTCCAAAATCTAACTGGGGGGTTGTAAGAGTGCTCACTTAGGTGAATAAAACTCCTATGCATCAAAACTCCCATTCTCTCAGCTGCCACTGCCTTTTATATGTTGATCCCGAGGACCTCCTGCAGTTTCTAACTTTTGTCTGTCTCAATTCCCCTGTGGTTCTACAAAAACTATTGGGGCTGCAGAAGGATTATGAAAACTATTTCCTTACTTATGACTAAAATAGTATAGAACTACAAGAAACTGTCAAAATAAATAAAAGCATCAGTAAAAACTGAAAAAGAGAACTCCAAATCTTTGCTTGAAGAATACTGAGAAGTAAGAAGTACAAGATTTCCATGAATGTAGTTGATGATGAGACGGTGACTGTGGAAAGCTTACAGCACTTACTGCTCTTCCAAAGTACTGAAGTTTGAACCCTAGTACTGAGCTCACTCACCTCACAACTGCTTCTAATTCAAGTTCCTGGAAATCCTACACCCTTTTCTGACTCCAGGTTCTCACATGCATGGGCACACAAACACAACACACTGACAGAAACTATAAACTTTAGGGAAAAAAAAAGTTTACATAAATGATAACCAGAAAATGCTTAGTCACATAAGTCTAATTACCAAGAAGGCTTTTCTACCATATGTGTGTGTATACATATATATATATGTATACGTGTGTGTATACATATATATGTATATATATATACATATATACACACACATATATATATATATCAACTGTTCAATATGACAACTCTTACAAGTTAAATTACTAGGGCAGAAAAAGGATTTTTCACAATGCTTACATGCATAAGTCTTCATTCTTGAGTGAATTCTTTCATTGATGGAATGATCATAAAGTTGACTGAACAGTTTCCTCATGCTTTACATGAAAACACTTTCTCTCCAGTGTGAATTCTTTCATGAGTAATATGGTAAGAGGGACTGGTGAAGGATTATCCACAGGTTTTACATGCATAAAGCTTCTCTCCAGTGTGAATTCTTTCATGAGAGTTGCAGCACCAACTGAATTTGGCAAATGTTCTCTACAATGTTTACATGTTTAAGGTTTCTCTCCAGCGTGAGCCCTTTCATGCTTGTTACGATAGCCAGAGCTGGTGAAGGCTTTCCCACAATGCTTACATGTGTAAGGCTTCTCTCCAGTGTGAATTTTCTCATGACAGTTACGAGAACTCAAAATGGCAAAGGTCTTGCCACAGTGCTTACATGCATAAGGTTTCTCTCCAGTGTGACCCCTTTCATGAGCACTACACCAAGTAGAACTGATAAAGGCTTTTCCACAATGCTTACACACATAAGGCTTCTCTCCAGTATGAAGTTTTTCATGAGTGTTACGAGAACTCAAAATGGCAAAGGTCTTGCCACAGTGCTTACATGCGTAAGGCTGCTCTCCAGTGTGAATTCTTTCATGAATGTTACGATAACTGGCTTGGGAGAAGGCTTTTCCACAGTGCTTACATGCGTAAGGCTTCTCTCCAGAGTGACTTCTTTCATGAGTGATAAGAGAACCCAAAATGACAAAAGTTTTGCCACAGTACTTACATGCATAAGGTTTCTCTCCAGTGTGAATTCTTTCATGAACGTTCCGATAACTGCAATTGTTGAAAGCTTTTCCACAGTGTTTACATGTGTAAGGCTTCTCCCCAGTGTGACTTCTTTCGTGAGTGATACACCCAGTCAAACTGGCAAAGGTTTTGCCACAATGCTTACATGCGTAAGGTTTCTCTCCAGTGTGAATTCTTTCATGAATGCTACAAGAAGTGGGACTAAGGAAGCTTTTTCCACAAAGTTTACATGCATAAATCTTCTCTCCAGTGTGAATTTTCTCATGACAGTTACGAGACCTCATAATGGCAAAGGTTTTGCCACAGTGCTTACATGCGTAAGGTTTCTCTCCAGTGTGAGTTCTTTCATGAATGCTGCAATAACTGGAACTTCTGAAGGCTTTTCCACAGTGCTTACACATGTAAGGCTTCTCTCCGTTGTGACCCCTCTCATGAGTGTTGCACCAGCTAGAACTGGTGAAGGCTTTTCCACACTGCTTACACGCATAAGGCTTCTCTCCAGTGTGAGTTACTTTATGTTTCTCAAAACACGAAGCATACTTAAATGTTTTCCCACATTGTTTACAAGTGTATTTTTTCTCTCCAATATGACTTTTTTCAGGGGTGATAAGGTCACTGGAATCAATGAAGGCTTCTTCACTGTGGTTATGAGCAAACGATTTCACTTCTGTATGGATTCCATTATCTTCTGCACTACATGTATAGCTCCTTAATATTTTCCCATTGAGTTTATCTCCACATTGTGTTCTCTTGTGAGGCTGATCAGAAAGGAGATTCCTAAAGGCTTCCTTACATTGTTGATTCTTATAAGGTTTCTCTCTGGGAAAAGTTTCAAGTACCTGAAGTGATTCCGAATGACTGGTATTTTCCCAATGTTTCTGATGTGTAAAGGACTCCTTACAGTGAGATTGTTCCCCTTTAGATTGGTTTCTGAGATATACAGGTGAGAATGAATGACCAATGATGCTTCTTACATGCAACTGGCTTTCATATCCTGTTATTGCAGGAGGCATGTCTTCATTAACCATATTCTTTAGAATTGGCTCAAGGTTGTCATCACACTGAATATTATATTCATATCCACAATCTTTCTCAATCAACTGAGTTCTGCAAGAAACGAGAAGACAATTACTCTAAAAAAAGGGAAACACTGAAGGCTACTAGAAGTCTGCTACAACTTTACTATTAGAGAGGTTGTAGCATAATGCCTCCTATGTTGAGGACAGTGTAACCATTTGTGAAATCCATTATCTGTAAAGAAACAGAGTGTTGACTATGGAGGTAGCAGAATGGTGGTGGTGGTTGTGGTGGTGCACACCTTTAATCAAGCACTAGGGAGGCAGAGGTGGACAGAATTCTGTGAGTTCAGTACCAGCCTGATCTACAGTGCTAATTCCAGGACTGCTAGGGCTAAAAAAGAGGAACCCTGTGTCAAAAAAAAAAAAAAAAAAAAACAAAACAAAAAAAAACCCAAAACCAAACAAACACATAGTTTTGGAGGTTAAGAGCAATTCTTGTTCTTCCAATAGACCAGGGTTTTATGACCAACATTTATGTGGAGAACTCACAAATTCCTGTTAGTCTAGAGTTGAAGAATTTATTGGTGTTTTCTGACCGCCACAAATCTTTTTACCATAAGAAGTGTACAACGTACACATATGCATACACCTAACATAATTAATGGACATAAATGGAGTAAACATCCAGTCACAGGTCTTAGCATTAAGAGAAAGTTATGACATTCACATAAAGTTGTGGAACACTGTGGCACTTGGCATTCTATGTCCTCAACCTGTGTTGGTTAGTTTGTAATCAACCAGAAGCATCTAGGGTCATCAGAGAATAGGGACCCTTCATTGAGAAAATGGCTCAAAAACACTGGGCTGTAAACAAGTCTTCGGGAGCATTTTCTCAGTCCTGACTCATGAGGGAGGGCTTAGACGATAGTGGGATGTGTGCCCCTGCACAGGTGGGTATGAGTTTTATAAGAAAGATACCTCAGGAATCCATGAGGTGCAAGCTAGTAAGTAATATTCCCCCCATAGTCTCTAGTTCCATTCCAGTCTCCAGGTTCCTGCCTACTCTGAGCCCTTGTCCTGCCTTTCCTTGTTGTACTGTAACATGGAAGTGTAAGTCAAAATAAACCCCATTGCTTCCAAAGATGACTTTGGTCATGGTGATTATCACAGGAACAAAGAGGACTCTCAAACAGAAGTTGGTTACCAGGTTCACGGGGTATTCATTTACCAGAGCTGACCACGTGGCTTTTAGGTCTGTGAAAATGTCTAGAAACTTAGGTTAGATGACCTTAGTCACTGAGTCTGAGAATAAAGAGCTGTCCCAGGAGCTTGGAGGTCAGGAATGCTGACAGTAATGATGGAAGTCTGACTTCTGTGGTTTTAGGGATGATGGAAGGTACCTCAGAGGCTCTACTGGGGCAGTTCCTGTGATATCTCATAAGAACCTATGTTTTCCAATGTTATAGTGTGATTTATATTGTAAGATTAAGAGTATTTAGGAAGAAACAAGCCATGAACGGTTCTAGATTAATAATGTGGGGTGTGTGTGTGTGTGTGTGTGTGTGTGTGTGTGTGTAATGTTGGCAAGAGGTGAAGGGGGTCTAGTTAGTTTCCATGAACTTGACAGAAGCTAGTACACACATCTGAGAAGACTGACAGATATGTCTGTGGAGACATCTCCTGATTCCTATGGATGTTGTAACCTAGAGAGGTGGGCCGGGGTTAAAGGAAGGTGGCTGAATAAGGGATGAGCACACAGTACACAGCATCTCTCCATTACCGCTGCTTCAGTTCCTCTCTGCTTCCCTTTATTATGGAACTGTGACAAGGAAGGGTAAGTAAACTAAACGTGAGTTCCACCTCAGAGTTGTTTTCTTTCACAGTAAAAGAAAGGGAACAAACATAGCACTTTCTATTCAAAGCCTCAAAAAGGTATACAGAATGATTCTAAATAAGTTTAAATATGACAGGAAGATTTTGTGTAGCAAACTCTTGGAAAACCTCTTTCAGATTAATGTTCTATCACGTTAGTGATATTCACAAATTGTAGATGATACAGATTACACAAACAGGGAATGAGATAATTCAGTGCTCTGATATAGGAATTTGGGGTTAGATTCAATGTACAATTAGACAGATATAGATCATTTAGTAGGTTCTTGGTCATCATCTCACTTGTAAATGTTAGATATAAATTGCTTCCTATTGAATATAATTTACCTCAGACTTCTGCAGAGATCTTTGTAGTTCTCTTCAATGTTTTGTTCTAGTCCTTTTTCTAAAATTAAACCCAAAGAATTCATTATAACATCTTCAATATTAAAAAAAAATTACAATCCCACTCTTAAGACATGGGCATGCTCGCTAAATTAACCACATGTTCAATTCAAGGATCCAAATCACAACACTACACACACAAACTGGGAACAGTTGCTCTCTGACTGAATAAGCAATGGGAACAGGTTGTGTTTTTACCTATGGACATAAAGTTCAAAAGTGTCTCCCCCATCACATCTCTGTAGAGTGTCTTTTGACTGGAATCCAACAAAGCCCACTCTCTTGAGGTGAATTTCACAGCCACATCCTCGAAGGTCACAGACTCCTGAAACAGAGCACATATTATATGGTTACCTGTAACTGTGGGCTGACGCTATACAGAATCACTGAGCACTGCGGATTCTGAGGACACTTCTAAATGATGATGTCAATAAAGGTTAATTCCGAAACACCTGTAGAATGCTATCTTGAGTTCTTATTGTAAGAAAGGCAGATACACAGTCTCCGTTACGATTCTGTTGCTGAGATGAGAGCCCATGATCAAGGCGGCTATTATCAAAGACATTATCTAATCTGGACTTCTTTACCCTTTAGAGGGTTGGTCCATGATTACAACGACAGGAAGCAGACAGGCACGGAGCTAGAAGAGTGCCTGCATGTTTTACTCCTGGAAAAGGCAGCAGACAAAAAGACAGACAGAATGCCAGAAATGAGCTTTTAAACCTCAAAGAACACCCCCAGTGACATACCTCCTAACTGAGACAAAATTTCCTAATAGTTTTCAATGAGTTTCACTAAGAACTAAGGTTTCAAATACATGAGCCTATGGGGCAAGGCACACATACACACAGACACACCCTTGAGATGAAGCCCTTTGTGAACTATATAGGGATTACATCAGTGGAAGGAGCGAGCTGAGAAACTACACAACTACACTGTTTGTGATGGTGTGTGATGTGACCAGCCCCTCCACTGTTGTGCCTTTAATGGACTGTACCTTCAGTTCTGCTTTAAGCCACATTACCCAGAGTCATTTATGACAACTGGATGAGAAGCCCAATACAAGAAGCAGATTTTTTAAAAACTTGAACCCTTGTTGTAAGTAAAACTAACAGGTCCTCTGTTGGCATTAGAACTTGTTGTGGAAGGAACATGGAAGAACTGGCAAGAAAATTCTCTTTAGACAAAAACAAAACAACCTGAGAACACACAAAATGCAGAACTGAACGAATCAGTCAGGGAGACACTTAGAGGACAAAACTGCTAAAAATAAATGCCTACAGCAGAGACAGGTGTCAGCAAGGTTCAGTGGGAAGTGAGGATTTAGTCAGGAACTAGAGGAAGAGCCGTTCCTGTGTTATTGAATTCAAGAATATAACTTCATTCTTCTGTACATCAGAGAGTTTGAAATGAACTTGAAAGCAAAGATTGTCAAGTCCTTGGTAGAAGAAAAGAATACAAGCAAGTAAAATTTTCAACAAGGAGAACTGCTATCAGAGATAACAAGATTAATAGTCATTGGGACAAGTGTAGAGCAGACAGCTGAGCACATGGAACTCCATTGGCATGGTCTCTTCACACAGTCCTCTCTGAACAATGAACTTAGGGATCTGTGGGTATCCTTCACAGAAGAATTATCTTTGGTGTGCTGTGTCTATGTCTGCTTTTAAAATAGCAACAAGTTACTTCTTTTAGTTATGCCTCAGTAACTCCTCATTGCCTTCAAATACCTTTGGAAAACATAGGATAATGTGAAATAAGCTGATTTGAAATGAAGTAGTTTGAGGTGTATGTGCAATAGAGCAAACTGTTCTCTGGGGAATGCTCAAGAAGAATTTTTCTTTTAATGTTTTCACAACTTCCTCTTCTAAATAAGTGGGCCTGCACAGTTCTATGATGTAGGAGGTCTTTCTGTCTATGTGCTGCATTCATTGGTGAATAAAGGAACTGCTTTGGGCCTATATCAGAGCTATAGGGAAACAGCTAGGTGGGGAAAACTAAACAGAATGCTGGGAGGAAGAAGGCAGAGTCAGAGAGGGATGCCATGGAGCCACCAGAGTCAGACATGCCAAATCTTTGCAGGTAAGACACTGTCACGTGGCCATGTACAGATTAATAGAAATGGGTTGAATTAATATAAGAGTTAGCCAGTAAGAAGCTAGAGTGAATGGGCCAAACAGTTATTTAATTAATATAGTTTCTATGTGATTATTTCGGGTGTAAGCTAGCCGGGCAGCCGGGAACCACAAGCAACCTCCCTCCAACAGTACTAAACTCAGATGACTATGGGAAATGCATGCTCAGTTAACAAGGCTTACCAAATGTAATCCTGTTGGTTCAAACATAGAATCTTTTTGCATGCTGTGTATAGCTAGGACTTAACTATTATCCATTTTTCTCAGGTTCACCTAAAGATACCATTGCTGCCAAATTACAGGAAATAATTTTAAGAACATGACACATCCCCAAGAGGTGAAATTAGTGGGTATTGGTCTTTTGGTGGGTTACGGACGCTTGTCATTACAAGCTGTTATCAGTTATAGTCAGGGAGGAAACTAAACAATGGAGGTAAGATTAAGAAATTAATTTCTTTCTTTCTTTCTTTTCTTCTTTCTTTCATCCATCCTTCTTTCTCTCCTATCTAGTGAAAAAATAAGGAGGCAGGGAATATAGGAATGACAGAATAAAAGGGTAGATTATTGAGTCTACTTTTATGCTTAAAAGAAACTACTAGTCTCAAATATTTTACACTGGTATGGATTTCAGTATATCTATACAAATTTAAGGTTTTTTTGTTATAATATACTGTACATATGTTTCTACTCTTCTTTAAGGTATTGTAGTATGCAGCTCATTTTGAAATGTAATGTGGTGTGGGAGAATTGTCTGTATTCTGTCAATCATATTTTAAATAAAAGTTGATTTGCCAGGCAGGAAGTATAGGCAGGTCAACCACACAGGAAGTAGAGGCGGGCGATGAGAATAGGAGTATTCTGGGAAGCAGGAAGCTCCCTCCGCAGTTCGGCCCAGACCACTGAAGAAGCAAGATGTGAACTACCCTGCTGAGAAAGGTACTGAGCTATGTGGCTAAAAACAGATAAGAATAATGGGTTAATATAAGCTACAAGAGCTAATAAGTAGCCTGAGCTAATGGGCCAATCAGTATTATAACTTATTGAGATCTCTGTGTGATTTTCTTTGGGGCTTGCCGGCTGTGGGGAACTGGGCAGGACATAAACGCCAACAAGCAGGCCCCTTCATGTTACAGTAACGTAAAGTATAAAGTCCTTGAAAGCTATTATTACAAACTGTTTAGGATTATTAAGAAATGCAGGTTAGTCAGGCGGTGGTGGCGCACGCCTTTAATCCCAGCACTCGGGAGGCAGAGGCAGGTGGATCTCTGTGAGTTCGAGGCCAGCCTGGTCTACAAGAGTTAGTTCCAGAACAGGCTCCAAAGCTACAGAGAAACCCTGTCTCGAAAAAAAACCAAAAAAGAAAAAAAAAAAAGAAATGCAGGTTAATAGTTATTCATCTATAACAATCAAACATTTAGTCATGTTAGGTATGTTTTCAGGGTTAAGCAGAGATATATTTTAGATAGATAGGTGGTCTTCAAACACTTCAGAGATCTACATAATATGGCATTTAAGATGTTTTAAAAACATAGGGCTTTTCATGATAGTGAGATATGTATGCTCCTGGCAGTACCAATATATTTCGGTGAAGATGGTGGACATTAAAGAAACCCATATGGAGTTTGCTTTCAACATGACAAAGCTAGCCACTAGGCAAGAAATTTTCCCTGCCTCGATTACTGACAGTATGCTGTCTAAACTGGACAAGCAGAACACAATGAAAGTCTACTGCTAAGCCTTGCCAAGACAAGGTAGGATAGTTCCTCAAAATTCAGATTGTGTAAGTCTACAGGCTAAAGATGGATGCCCCATGATTGCAGAGGAAACTTGGGTGAAGCCAGCTGTGTCTGTCATTTCTATGGTTTTGGAAGTTGCTTTTTCTGCCCTTCTTGTTTACTCAGGAAATAGTTTAGCCTTCCCTGGTCACTGATAGGGTTAAAGACTAGATAGTTACAGTTTTACTGTTTTCCTCATTACCAATCAGAAAAGAAACTCACAAAAGGGAAGCACAGTTCATAAAGGTTAAGAGACATAAAAGCTTGAGTTGTTTATCTAAGAAAATGTTTTTAGGTCTAAAAAGATATTTTAGGTTACTAATACAAGTTATGGTAGAAAGTGGTTTAGATACAAAAGTTTGGACTCACCAAGATAGATAGATAATAGAGTACTTTTTCTAAAGTTGTCAAATAAAAATAAACTGGATATTATGAATGTAATTCTTACCTGTATAGTATACAGTTTAACTGAGAGTTAAAACCTCTCCTTTTTTATTTTAAACAAAAAGGGGAAGTATTGGGGGTATCTGATCACACAATATGTGAAGATGTGTCTCTCTGTTCTTCCTTACCTGCCTAAGGCACTTCAGATTGGTTTAATAAAGAACTGAATGGCAAATAGCTAGGCAGAAGATAGGTCAAACTTTCGGGCAGAGACAGGAACTCTGGGAAGAATCTGAGGGGCGGGGCATTCACCAATCAGATGCAGAGGAAGTCAGACATACATACTGAGGAAAGGTAATGAGCCACATGGCAGAATGTAATTAATATAAACAGATTAATTTTAAGAGCTAGTTGGGAACAAACCTAAGCTAATGCCAAGCGTTCATAATTAATAAGTCTCTGTGTCATAACTTGGGAGCTGGTGCTCCAAAGAAAGACCAGCTAAAGGCACAGGTACACATCAGAATCCCACTCAGCAGAAAAGAAAACCAAAATGGAATTTGCAGGGAAAGGGATGTAACTGGAAATGTAATTATAACAAACCATGTAACCTATGCACGCAAAGTTAAATGCTGTCTGTATTTCCTTTATATGGTTCTATGTCTGATCTGTTACCCATGTTTCAAAACTGGATGAGTATCTATAGAGACCACGGAAAAGAAACATTTCATGAGATCTGTGGGGGTAGCAGAATGCGTGGGATGTGTAGATAGTGTGGTGGATATAGGACTGAAGAAGAGAAAACAAGCATGGGAATGGGAGAAAGAGTTTGGAGTATCAAGGTTTAGTTATAAAGTGATTTCCAGCCCAGTCTTCTGTTACACAAGTATCCCTGCATTAAAAAAAAAGGATAATCCAGCAAGGAGGTATAAGCCTGTCATCCCAGAATATATGAGGCAGAGGAGGAGGATGTATGAGTTCAAGGCTAGTCTAGTGTGTACCAGGAGTTCCTGTGTTATAGAGGGAAACCCTGTCACCAAAAGCAAAATGAAATAGAGAAATGACAATAAATATTACACATAAATTAAAAGAAAAATCAATGTAAATGCAAACAAAAGTGTAATAAATACATTATAAATATAAAGCACACTGAAGTCAACTATGCAGCACAATTTAGACTCAGCATCACCAACCCAGAGGCCCAGCAAGATCTATATTCAGACAAGTTCATCCAAAGACTCAGTTAAAAGAGCTAGGGATGCCGGGCGATGGTGGCGCACGCCTTTAATCCCAGCACTCGGGAGGCAGAGGCAGGCGGATCTCTGTGAGTTCGAGGCCAGCCTGGTCTACAAGAGCTAGTTCCAGGACAGGAACCAAAAAGCTACGGAGAAACCCTGTCTCGGAAAAAAAAAAAAAAGAATCTGCATGATCCCTTTACCTATACCTCAAACTCGCACAGACTGGAAAGGCAAATCGTACAACTTTTAAAAAAAGACTTTAGCCGGGCGATGGTGGCGCACGCCTTTAATCCCAGCACTCGGGAGGCAGAGGCAGGCGGATCTCTGTGAGTTTGTGACCAGCCTGGTCTACAGAGCTAGTTCCAGGACAGGCTCCAAAGCCACAGAGAAACCCTGTCTCGAAAAACCAAAAAAAAAAAGTGCTAGGGATTACAAAGAAGCAGCTTCACAAGGACAGTGGCTCAAGGCTGCCTGCAGGGTGCGCACTTCAAGAGCACATGGGCATAGCATTGCTCTCTCAGACTTCACCTCCACTGGACTGCATAGCACCTGGGGAAACTTCAGGGGCTAGCGAGAAAGGCCTCCAAAACAGCTAGTGTTGCAAATCACATGCTAGGTCTCAAACCCTGGACAAATTGCTAAAGTGTCTATTAACATATCAAAGAGAATGCTGGCTGCCAGTCCACCTGTTACAGTGTCGACTGGACTGGCATACCTCACTCCTACCCAACCCAGTGATTAGGCTGGGTTTTCCTTTCCCCAGCTTCTCTGATTCTTATAATTCAGTCATTTGGGCTACTCTGGTATCTTGGCCTCTCTGCCTCTTGGCCACCTGATACCCTGATCTCCTTCCTCTCTTCTATTTGTTTCTTGCTTTCCCTACTCTCTCTCCTAACATGACCTAGTTAATTCTGGATCACTCCAGATGCCCCTGGCTGCGCTCTCTCTCTCTCTCTCTCTCTCTCTCTCTCTCTCTCTCTCTCTCTCTCTCACACACACACACACACACCATCTCCTCTACCATATATGGGAGCAGTCATATTCTCTTCTATTTTTCATTCACCTGCCCCCATCCCCGGATTCCAGAAGCTCAGGGCACACTCACCATTCTGTGCATCTGATATATCTAGGTGTCCACCTGAGGATGCCAGAAGTCAGCAGAACACAAAGTCACCCAAAACAGGTGCTCAGGAGAATACCCTTTTCTAAGAAAAAGAAAACAAAATATAAAGCTCCAAGTACATTCCAACACAGCAACAATATATAGGGCTTGATAGGGAACCTCAGATATTAGAGATGAGGTCTTTCATTTCATTTTCAATATATTCATTCTCTGCCAATATACTTAAAACACACCAACGAGGGAATACAATTACTCACTGCATGGACAAAATAGACATACATGGCAGGAGTATTCCAATTGGATTCTGAGTTATGAAAAGCATCTCTTAAATTTCAGAAAAGGTTTTCTTTGCCCAAGGTCATAAAGAAAACCTCCAGTCACTAAATTACACCCAAACCTCAGGATCTCACAGACTGCTAAAAGTAAAATAAAATAAAAATTCACAATGGCCATTCTTTAGTGATGATACAAAGATACTAAGTCACTTAACCTTGGAACCTCATTCTGGCTAGTATTGCTTCCAGGACCATGAATAACTCCTTCAACACCACAATAGTCATTAGACAAATAATGTCACTCACATGAACATTAAGACTTATTTCATTTCATGTGTATGAATTTTTTTTCTTATTGCAGGTACCTCAGTGTACTTCATATGTGTTTGGTGTCAAGGGAAGCCAGAAGACATTACATTCCCTGAAAGTGGAGTCATAGACTGTGTGAGTGGATTCTGAGAATCAAACATGGCTCTCTGGAAAAGAAATCTGTGCTCTTAACTGCTGACCCATCTCTCCATCCCTTATTCTCGTTAAGATTTTAACAGAAATAAACAGTAAAATTCACCAATACTTTCTTTAGGTGTCTATCAAATTGGGTCTCAAAACATGACCATCATAGATGCTCTTCATATGAGAGGGAGTGTTTTTGGCCAATTTTAGCAATAATGTGCGCGCGCGCGCACACACACACACACACACACACACACACACCCCAAAACTACCAGTATCATTGAAAGAACAACAAAAACAAATTAAAAAGAATTAACAGGGCTGGGGAGATGGCTCAGAGGTTAAGAGCACTGGTTGCTCTTCCAGAGGTCCTGAGTTCAATTCTCAGCAACCACATAGTGGCTCGCATCTGTAATGAGGTTTGGTGCCCTCTTCTGGCATGCAGGTATACACGCAGGAGAAACACTGCATACATGATAAATAAATAAATCAACAAACACTGCTGGTTGATATCAATGGTCTGAATTCCCCGAATAAAAACACACAAACTAACAGGATGGATGTGGAAACAGGGTCTGTATGCTGCTTCCAGGAAATGCACTTCAACATCAAGGATAGACATCACCTCCAGGAAAAGTGATAGAACAGATTATTCCAAGAAAATGGATCCAAAAGTAAGCCAATGTAGCCATTTTATTTTATTTTTTAATATTTATTTATTTATTTATTTATTATGTATACAATATTCTGTCTGTGTGTATGCCTGCAGGCCAGAAGAGGGCACCAGACCCCATTACAGATGGTTGTGAGCCACCATGTGGTTGCTGGGAATTGAACTCAGGACCTTTGGAAGAGCAGGCAACACTCTTAACCTCTGAGCCATCTCTCCAGCCCTTCAGTGTAGCCATTTTAATATCTGACAAAATAGACTTCAAACTAAAACTAATCAGAAGATACAGGAAAAGACACCATATATTCAAAGGACATTTCTATTCTTAACATCTATTTCCCAAAAACAAGGGCTTCTAAGTTTGTTTAAACAAGCAAACAGAAACACAAACACTGCTACAGCTTAATTGACCTATTGACGCTCACACAATAATAGTGAGAGACTTACTATTCCACTCCCAGCAATACACAGATCATCCACATAAAGCTAAGCAGAGAAATGCTGGATCTAAGTCACAGTATAAACTAAATGAACTAAAGAAATACAAAACATCTCACCCAAATTCAAAAGAATATACCTTATATTCGAGACCCCATGGAACTCTGCAAAATGATTACATATTTAGGCACAGAGCAAGTCTACTGAGAAACAACAAAACTGAAATACAATCCTGCATTTTATCTAAGCATCATGAAGTGAAACTGAGTATCAACAAGAGAAACCACAGAAAACTTTACTCCATGGGATGTGAACAACTAACTACAGAATAAACAATTATATGGATAAAATTATACAATTTACACTAATAAAAATATGTCAAGACAGAATTCATAAATGAAAGACCCTCTAGAATTGCATGAATACACAAAATGCACAAACTTAGGGAAGGCAATGATGACATTTCTAAGATGCACATTCATCACACAAATTGCCTACATACAAAAAAAATCAAACAGATCTCAAGAATAACTTAACAACACACTTGGAATATCAAGAAGAAATCACACTCAAAATGAGTAGAAGATAATATGTAATCAAACTCAGGGCTGAAATCAATAAAATACAACTAACAAACAATACAAACATCAGTAAAATAAAGTTTTGTCACTGAAAAAAAAATGAGATTGGCAGACCCTTGTCCAAATTAACTAAACAGCACAGAGAAGAACCATATTAACACAATTAAAAATGAAAAGGTATTCAAGAAATATCTGACAAAATCCAACAACTCTTCATTGAGGTCCTTCTGTCTATGTGTTGCTTTTATTGGTTAATGAATAAAGAAACGGCTTTGAGCCTATAGCAGAGCAGGACAGAACAGAGCTAGGTGGGGAAAACTAAACTGAATGCTGGGAAAAGGCAGAGTAGGGAGAAGCCATGTAATCCTGCTGAATAAAGATGCCAGAACTTTACCCGGTAAACCACAGCCTCATAGCAATACACAGATTAATAGAAATGGGTTAAATTAATATGTAAGAGTTAGCCAGTAAGAAGCTAGAGCTAATGGGCCAAGCAGTGATTTAATTAATACAGTTGCTGTGTGATTATTTCAAGAGTCTGGGCGGCCTGCTACTACACTTCATGATAAAAATCCAGGAGAAATTAGAGATTCAAGGGGCATGCTCAACATAATAAAGGCAGTTTACAGTGATCCCAGGAGCAACAACTTAGATGAAAGAAAGACAATTCTACAACCCAAAACAAGACAAGGTTGTTCACTCTCTCTACACCTATATTATGTGGTCCACTTTTTTTAATAACTTATTTTATGTGCATTGGTGTGAGTGTGTCAGATCCCCTGGAATAGAGTTACAAACAGTTGTGAGCTGCCATTGGGTGCTGGGAACTGAACCTGGGTTCTCTGAAAGAACAACCAGTGCTGTCAAACACTGAGCCGTCTCTCCAGTTCGTGGTCCATTTTTTCTTTTAACTATGCTGTTTGAGTTCCTGATATTTAGTTGCCTTATTTTTAATTTGATATATATTCCAGCCACAAATCCTCTGACATATGTATACCTTACAAAGATTTTCTGTGAAATGCCTCTCCTCTGAGTTCCTTTTCTTTGTTGTCCAGAAACTTTTCAGTAGGAGGTGACTTCAGTAGAATCTTGCAAAACAGGATAAATATATAGGCATATAGCCAGTGGGGATAGTACTGATTATGTGATGTGAATGAACAAGGAGGAAATACTGGAGGCCGAAGGTTTAAATATGGATGAAAGCAGAATAGAGGAAAGTAGGGTTAGGAAGTGGGTTAAAGAAAGCTACATATGTATTTTAAAAGCCGTCTGAAACACCACTAGCTTGTAAGCTACTTAAAAATACCTTTATGGGGGAAGAGCAGAGCATCACTATGAAGTCCTGGCTCTCCTGGAACTCTGTCTTTCTGTGTAGACCAGATTTTGAATTCTGCATATAGGAGAGCAGTCTAACCACAAACCCACAAAGCTCTGAGCAAGCCACTATCACCACACATTAGAGAAAAAGCTGGTCCCAAAATCCACGAGTGACTAAATAAAATGTCAGTGTCAGGCACACGTCACTGGTCAGAGAGGGTTCCAAGGCACAAAACGATATAGCCTATTGTTATTGCTGTTGGTAGCCCAGAAAAGGAAAATGATAAAATCCTACTGCTAAAGACACAACACTTGTGGATTGCACGACACAGAGAAATCAACCACGAGCTGACCAGGAAAGTCCCAGTTGCCCATCGGTCATAGTGTTGAAATATACTATGAAACCAGGGTATCCTGAGGTAAACCGGAATGCTACAAAATAGATGCCAGACAAGATATGCCAATAGGAAAGAATATTGATGAAGCTAAGCAACTATTGCCAGTTAATTTCAGGCCTGTTCCACAGAAGGGAAAACATACCTGGTACTTTAACAGAGTTAAAACCCATGGCTACGGAAGTCATAAGTTCTCAGAGAGAACCTACTGTTTTTCTAAGTGGTTGTGTTGACACACTGCCTTCTAAATATTTGTGATCCATCCATAGATTTCTGCTGCTAACAACCTGGCTCAGAGAAGCTTTTTATTGTAGTAATGGTAGTTTATACAGAGATGCATTGCAATTTAAATTGTAAAAACAAGGGGCTGGAGAGATGGCTCAGTGGTTAAGAGCATTGCCTGTTCTTCCAAAGGTTCTGAGTTCAATTCCCGGCAACCACATGGTGGCTCACAACCATCTGTAATAGGGTCTGGTGCCCTCTTCTGGCCTACAGACATACACACAGACAGAATATTGTATACATAATAAATAAATAAATAATATTAAAAAAACAATAAATTGTAAAAACAAGCAACCATGACTACTCAGCATAGACGTGATAATTCTATCTGACCCCTAACCCTGAAAGCTCAGAAAACATTGCAAAAGGGGGAGCAGAAGTGTGAAATGCTGGGTTCTGCATGTGACACAGCTGTTGCACACCTGAATTCACAACTGCTGTGGCCACACTCATCAGATCTCCATGTGATCCTGGCTGTGAAAAGCTCCAGCAATGCACGGAGGTGGACTTTGAAGCCCCAGCCCTTACTAAGATGCTAGTTTTGGTTGATGGATTCTAGGGAAGGGAGAGTCACTGTTCTTTAGGAATGTGGCCCCGAGCACACTGTAAATAAGGGCTGCAATAATTAGACTTAGTGGGGTATAAGTACATTATTTAAAAAAAATAGGAGCTGTCTCAATACTCTGGTTTATCTAACACTAGCGTAACCTCTGTTATTCTAAGAATAGTTCCTCGTTTCTTTACTCTTTACACCACTTTTGCAGGTGCTAGGATTTCAATCATGAGCCACTATGATTAGCAACACCTAATACTTTTCTTCCCTTCAATCATGGTCTCACAACTGTTCTACACAATCCCTACTATGGAGCTATTTTTCCTGTAGAAGAAATAAAGTTGGGTCATATATTCTACTGTTCTGTCACTGCCTGCTAACCGGTGTGTACACACACACACACACACACACACACACACACAGCACTCACGAGTAACTGACCTTTAAATTGAAATTTGTAATGATAGTTTGTAAGCTTTTATGTATAACACCTTTATTGCAAGAAACTAGGTTTTGCTTAATTTTCCTTAAGCATTATTTTAATTAAAGCAATATTAATTTCAGAAGAGGAAAATGTCTGCTGAGTCGTTCGTCTCTCTTGCGCAAATGATTTCAGGAGGGAAGGACTACATACAAACACAACCCAGGAAGCTGCATCAACTTCCTCATTCCCATGTCCCTTCCCATGTCCTATGAAGGGTCCCAGACAGTTTGCTCCCAGTGCATAGCAGGAAAATCAGTGTCATTTGCTGTCTGTGCTCATGACCAGTGTTGTCTGCTGAGATCAGACTCTGGTCTCTTTCCACCACAACACAGCTCAGCTTCTACATAGAATTCAACCCCAGTGGCAGTGATGAAGCTTCATGAATATCCTTGCACCTCAGTGGACATTTGAAACAGGGAAGTAACAGCACCTCTGACTGTCTAGAGAAACAGAAAACCTGGATATTCCTGATTTAAGATCCTAATTCCAAACTCAATACAGTTGATTGATATCCTTAAAAGGGATAAGGGTAGAGGAATAATGGGATTGAGGGAATCCCTAGGTCTGTGCAGACACAGAACAGAAATGGGCCTGCTATGCAAACACAAGGGTGTGGAATGAGGTGAACACATTTGTGGTTTTTTACATCTCAAGCTTCAACTTATCCATTTTCTAATGATTTTTAATGAAAATAAAATTTAACTGCTGTATACTTTACTAAACCTTGACAGTGAATGATTTTAAATAAACTTAAGACTTGATTTTTAATTAGAGATATGACGTATCTACTGGAAACTATAAGCAATTATTTTGAAGAAATGTACTGCCTGGGGTTTATGTTTTAAGGATATTAACTACTTAAGAAAGTCTGAGATCACAGGGATGAGTCATTTGCTCAATCTTTACATTTTAGGAATCACGGAGACTAAAGGATCAGCTCTGAGGTGAGGGCCTTGTTGACAATAATGAAATTTTGTCATACAAGTTACTATGTCTTAAAAGAAACAAGAACATCTTAGACTTCTTATAGCCTCAGATCTGAGATTATGACTAACTTAATAACATATTGACTAATGTTTTATCTAACTACAATAAAAAGGAAGCTTTAATTATACTGTGAACTAAAAGAAATTTAGGCCAACCTGGAAGTTTTAATTTAAAGATCACTTAATTATAAGCTGAATTGTAGAATGGAAATTATATAAAAACACAAGTACAAGAAAACACTACATATACACACGTATCTTCAAGATCATTTTAAAGACAAAGATATTGTAATATTTTTCAGTTGTAGCTTAGGCTATTGTTTAGATCTTAGTTCATATTTTATTAGCATTACCCATCCTGAATCGAAAGCCTGTCTTTTAGAAAACATGGTTATAATCTGAGTAGAACACCTTGATGTCAAAGACATGGATAGAGCCTAATCTCATAATTATTAAGGTTTAAGTACACAGAACAGACATCAGCTTTCTATTTAAATTAGTTTTTTCCTGTTAATTTAAATTGGACAAGACCAGAACTTGGAAAAACCTGTCATTAAAGAGGAGTCTTACTTTTTATGAGTTAAAATTTATCTTAGAAATATTAATTATTGTTAGCTTAATACTTAAGAGCATAGACAACTTTATTTAGTTAGAAACAACTGATTTCTAGTCGATTTGATACTACATAATTTACATAATTTAATAACTGCCTAAGACAAATAAGAACATTGCAGTTTTCTAGACGATCAATGGATAAAAGACACAGGGGGAAAGAGAATACCCTTATTGAGAAGCAGCTCAATTTCACAGTATTCTAAAATGCATTTATCGAACTCAAAATCCAGCACTTTAGATCACGTCAGTCAAAACACTGAGCAGAATGGGATTGGTCTTCAAGAAGCCAACCCCAGCTAAGTAGGTATCAGCAACTGGTGACTTGGGGTGTGTGTGTGTGTGTGTGTGTGTGTGTGTGTGTGTGTGTGTGTGTGTGCAGAGCTATTTTTCTTCTGGAATGTGACCACTAGTAGGTTGTCCATTCCCTGTGGATGGCCACACACACTTGGACAGCACTAAGCGAACCCATGAGTTATAGAAAACAAAGAAAAAGAGGAAAGAAGGAAGGAAGTGAGGGAGGTAAAGAGAGAGGAAGGAAGAAAGGAAGAAAAGAAGGAAGGGAAAGGAAGAAAGGAACAAATAAAGGCAGACAATAAAAACAAAAACACACAAAATTAAGATTCAAGTATTCTTAGGGTGTACAGGCTAACTATGATTAACATATATCACTTATATGTAGGACATTCCAAGGAATAAAACTATATTTAAAAGTTTTGCTCGGCTTTTTAATAACAAAACAACAAAACAGATGTCCACAGAGCTAAAAAACAGTTAAGCAGGTGAAAAGCTTGCCCTGCAACCCCAAAGACCTCAAACCCTATTGAGGATGTGTGCAAAAGTGAATACATACTCACCATTAGTGAGAGTTTAACATGCTGGAATTAACAAGCAAATCAACGTGTGCCTGCCTCAAAAGTAAGAAATAGAAATAGCATCTCACCAAGACAAACCTCTCTGGGCTTCTCCTGAAAAGAGTCCGCACACTACAACAGATACATGCACACGCATGGTGATTGATGCTCTAGTCCCAGTTGGTGAAAAAGGAATCAGCGTGGATCTTCATCAGGTGATGTCTGGATAATGGAGATGCGGCACATAAATATAATGATTTCCACTCAGCAATGAAGAAAACTGAAATGAAATTCCCAGCAGATGGGTGATAATGGAAATGTAATTACACTGAGTCAGGTAACCAGAGCCCACAAAGTAAGGCATGGTGATGCAAGACTTTCATCTCAGAATGCATGAAGCAGAGAAGGGCGATCTCTGAGTTCAAGGTTAGGCTAGTCAACACAAGGAGATCCAGGGCTACAGTAAGAAAAACCCTACTGCCAAAAACAAAACAAAACAAAACAGATCCTAATAGCCAGGCAGTGATGGAGAAACCCCGCCTCCGAAAGAAAAAAAGAAAAATATTAATTACAAATTAACTGAGTATCAAAATAACTACACATAATAAATATATTACAAGTGTATCCCACACTCAAGCCAATGTTCAAACAAAAAACATTTTCTCTACTAGGTAGAAAGCTCACTTGTTTTTCTCTCAGATGAATATTCTGAAGCTTCCCAAATGGTCAGAAATTACACTACCTACATAAACCAACTATCCAGAGGCAAAGGGAAAGGGATGAAATATTAATTTTTTCCCAAGGACTGAAAACATGGAAATAACTTGTTAGAAAATTGACACTCGTTAGGTGGGGTAGTAGTGGCGCACGCCTTTAATCCTAGGGACTAGGGAGGCAGGGACAGGCGAATCTCTGTGAGTTCGAGGCCAGCCTGGTCTACAAGAGCTTGTTCCTGGACAGGCTCCAAAGCTACAGAGAAACCCTGTCTTGAAAAACCAAAAAAAGAAAAAAGATAAAAAAGAAAATTAATTGACACTCGCAATCCCTTTTGTTTAAAGCAGCGTACAGCAAACATACAATGCCAATTCCATAAAGCTCTTTCCGAGCTTCACTGGCCTTTTCTGTAAAGTTGGAGAAAACGTTTCAAAATTCCAAAATTCTTAAAAGATCACTGCAAAACAAAAATGAAGCAAATTGAAATCTCTCTCTTCAAACTGGTAATTCTGGCCATCTGCAGGTAGGAGGACAATTAAAAATTCTCACAGTTATCATTTGAAAAAATGGAAGAAAAGGGCAAACACCATACAGGATGAGATAGGTGTTAAGGCGATTTGGTGGGAAACTTCTCTAATAGCAAAAAGCATGGGAAACAATTTAAGGGAGACCAGATGAGAGAGGAAAGGGAAGACCAGATGAGAGAGGAAAGGGAAGACCAGATGAGAGAGGAAAGGGATATCCAAGGAGATATCGTGCAAAAAACAAAAACAAACAAACAAACAAAAAAAACAAACAACCGAAAGAACAGACAAACAAACAAAACGTAAATCAGCCCAAACAGAAGCACAAGAGAAGGGAAACTGCAAGGACCAAGCAGGTCCCTACACAGCGCAGTCTGGACACAGCATCACCAACCGCCCGCGCTGCAAAATCTGTGTAGGCGCAGGTTCTCTGTAAGAGTGCTGTGATTGCGATGGAGCAACTTCACCCAGACAGAAGTGCTTGGGACGCGAGGCTCTAGGCTGCCTGCGGGGTGCACACTGCACGCACAGGTGGGCACAGGCATTGCTGAGCCAGGCTCCGCCTTCCACTGGACTGCATGGCACCAGGGAAACTCCAGGTCACTTAACTCCAAAGCAGCTAGAGTCCCACACCCGCCCCCAGGATTCCAACAGCCCAAAGCGCACTCACCATTCCGTGCATCTGACGTGGCCAGGTGTCCTCCCAAAGAGGACTGCACTCAGCAGAAAATAAGGTCACCCAAAACAGGTCTCCCAAGGATCCCGTATATTAAGCAAAGCGTTAAAAAAAAAAAAAAAAAAAAAAAAAAAAAAAAAAAAAAAAATGCTTCCTGGACTCAAGCTCTGACTATCCACGCTCCTCATTGGACAGTTTTTTCTTTTAGTAATATGGTCCCTGATAGGCGAACTGTACGTCAGCCGCTCTGTCACCGTTAAGTGCTAAACATTTTAGAAAAAGTCAGGCGAAAGAACTACTGCCAGTATTTTTAAGGGAGGCAGAGTTTTGTAGTGACCCTGATTCAAACCAAACAAATATGACAGACATGGTGGTAAGCATTTTTTTTTCCTTGACGGGAGTTCGCTTTGTCGATCCCCTTGCCTCTGCCTCCCAAATGCTGGGATTAAATGCGTTCCCCACGCAGCCCAATGAGTGGCAGGCATTTTTAGTCCCTGAAATGTTGAGGAAGTAGCAAGAAGATCACTAAATTGGAGGCTCACTTTATACAGAGAACTTCAGCACATACTACCTAAAAATATCCTGTCTAGAAAAAAATTATTTAAAAAACAAGCAATGCAAAACCAAATAAACTAAACAAAGAACACATTAACATATAGGTCTTGTGCTCTGAAATAAACCTATTCCATTTGAGGATTTCATTGCTTGGTAAGAACATGCTCTGAGATTTTGGGTGCAGTATTCTGAGAATACCCAGTATTCCCCACTTGCTTTTTCTGTGAAGCTGATCTTTTCTTTTCTTTTCTTTTCTTTTCTTTTCTTTTCTTTTCTTTTCTTTTCTGTTCTTTTCTTTTCCTTTTTTCCTGTACATTCCAATTTCTTGACTCAAAGGGAAGAAACAGAACTCAGTATATGAGCAGGGCCAGGTAGATTCAAGCACAGAAACCCCAAATAGGGTTGATAGGAAACCAAAAAGTTAAAGGATGAGACAAAAGCCCATGACAGCCTCACAACCTATGTTTCAAAGTATTATTTTCTACCAATGTGATTGAAACACACTAGTAAGGGAATTTAATTGCTTATTGCGTGGATAAAATAGACATACATATCTTGAGTACTCCATCAGCACGCAAACAGTGGCTCCCAACAGTCTTTGAATCATTTTCTAGGATGTACAATGCCATCTTCCACCCTCTCAGATTCTGAGTTATGAAAAACAACCTTTGAAAATAAAAAAAAATCTTACCCAAGGCTATGAAGAAAGCCTTCATTGACTACAGTAAATACTCCAAAACTTTAGGATCTCACAGACTGCTAACAACGAGGCCCACAGTGGTCATTCTATTCTCTACTGATGATGCAGAGATACTAAATGAATTGGACCTCAGTATGCCTGCTATTGCTTCCATGGTCGCAAGGTAAGTCCCTTTATCACTGTAATATTCCTGAGAATAATAATGTCACTCACATACGCATTAAAGTTTATTTAATTTATCTCAGTGTACCAGTGTTTTTCTTTTTTTTAAATTCATTTATTATGTATATAGTGTTCTGGGCACCAGATCTCATTATAGATGGGTGTGAGCCACCCTGTGGTTGCTGGGAATTGAACTCAGGACCTGAGGAACAACAGTCAGTTTTCTTAACCTCTGAGCCATCTCTCCAGCCCCCACCAGTGTTTTTCTTGCATATACTTCAGTACGCTAATATGTGCTTGGGTCACTGAGAGGACGGAAGATGACATTGTGTACCCTAGAACTGATTCACAGACTGGGGGAGCCACTATTTGAATGCTGGAAATCAAACATGACCCTCTAGAGAAGAAGTCTGTGCTCTTAACTGCTGAGTCATCCATCCCATAATCACATTAAAATTTTAATAAACAGTAAATTTCACAAATGTTTTTTTCAGGAGTCTACCACATTGGGTCTCTCTTAAGGGACTGTTTTGACAAATCTTAGCCTTGATGATGTCACTGACTGTTCTCCTAGATAAGCAATTTCCATATTGAGAAGTTCTCAAATACCTCCTTGAAAAGATTATCACACCTGGGCTTGTTGATCACTTAAACCCAACAGTGAGGGATGGAGGAAGGCAAAAAGCTCTCAGTCATTATGGGTCAGTTCAGAGAGAAATAACCACCGAGAAGATAGCCTGTCGCCCTTGGGCAAATGATTTCAGAAAGGAGAGACTGCATGCCAGGGCTTAACAGAGAAAATTGTTTCAACACCCTGTTACCAAGACCCTCCGAGCGCTATGAAGTGGCCCCATGTTGCTTGCTCCCACTGCACACTTTCCCTGCACTGCAGGAAAGTAGGTATCACTTGCTGTATGTGCTAATGACCTGTGTTGTCTGCTGACATCAGATTCTGGTCCCTTTCCAGCCTTTTGTTTCCTGTACCCTGAAATCTAATACTAAAGAAAATACTATATTTTCTCCAAAGAACTTCATCCAGTAAAATGATTAATTACTGATTGAGTTTTTCTTTACAGAATGTCTAATACTTGGATAAGCAGCTTAGATAAAAACAAATGACAATCCAATTCTAAGCCCATGATCCCCTTCACAGGGCTCTCAAAGGGCAAGTCGAGGAGAACTTTTCCAAAATGCCAATTTTTTCCTCAGAAATGGTCAATGCTTAAGAAATCTGATTTAGAAACTCTCTTCTCTGTGGCTGGGAATCTTGACCTTTTCTCAAAGAGGGAACAATCCAGTCCTCTCGTATGATCTTTTTTCAAAATGACAAGAACACACTCCGAATGATCCATTTTGCTTGGGTGATCTAACCAAACACCAAAGCCTATCTTTGTGTTATGTCAGGCATGGCTTAGGGTTCAGTCAGTACTGAGAAAATATAAAAATCACAAAACGAATGAGAGGAAAACTCTAAATCCTCATCACCGTGGCTCTAAAAGGGACCACTGAGAAAGCATACCACCCATGACCCTTCGCACCAGTCTGTACTTAGTGTTGTCAATTTGACTGCTTGGCAATTTCTGAGAATTGCAAGTTCCAGGCACCGTTTTATACCAAGAAAGTGGCCCCGGAAAAAGTAGTTTCCCTAAGAAAAACAGGGTTAGAGGCTTTGTACTCAGCAGCCTGCTTTGCACACAATTCCAGCACACTGGGAAGAATGGACCCAGTACAAGACTCTAGGATATACTCTGCACATGGCCAGGGGAGCAAACAGTCAGTAGCTCCACAGCCTCAGCAATGCCACAAATGCACAAATTACAAATCCAGAAGTCCTGGACATACTCACCCTCTCTTGCTTCCAATGGATCAGGGTGTCCGATAATATCAGAGAAGAGATGTGATATAATAAGTCCAACAAAACATGCCTCAGCTTATACACAGGATTCAAACCAGTGGCAGTGGTGAGGCGTCCTGAATATCCATGGACATTTGAAGTAGCAGCGTCCCTAAGTGATAAAAGAGACATAAGGTACAGATATTCCTGATTCAAGATCCTAAGGACAAAACCAATGAAGTAGGAATGAGGTCAACATGTTTGAGCTCTTTTCACACACGAGGCTTCCTTCTATTTCCGTTGGCTTGCTTATTTCTTTTTGTGAATCAGCTTCTCTCTATTATGTAGCACCAATTGTCCTTGAACACAGCATAGACCACGGTAGCCTGAGCTCCCATCACCTGTCTCTGCTTTCAGAGCACTAAAATAAAGGGTGTAATGTACCATTTCCTGCTACTCAATCTATTCATTATTTAATGAGAAAATCAAAATATCAAGAAAAGAATACAATTTTTGCATAGCATTGTAACTGGAGGCTTATTTCTCACCTGCCAGTGAAGGCGTAAGTCATAAACAATGCCACACCAGTCTGGAATTATGATTAATAGGGTGGTATTTATTTAAAGGGGAAAAAACTTACAGATCACCGTCAGCCCTCTGTGCAACCAGGAAGGGAGTCTAGTCACCGGCGGAGCAGGAAGTGAAGAGAGAGAGGAGAGGGAAGTGGCCGCTTTTTTAAAGGGAGAGAGACCACGCCCCAATGGGCTGGTATCTCAGCGGGGATAGGCTGGAGGAGTGGGAGGACCTCCCGTAACATGCCAGTTCCCAAATAACTACTCAGAGGCTTAATATTAATTATAAATTAATTATTTATTATCTCAGGTTTATTATTAACTAACTCTTAAACTTAAATTAATCACTTTCTATTATTCCATATCATAAGAAATAGGTTGCAATAATTTTTCTGTTGAATATGAATGTGTTATAATGTATTCTCTGGATTTTATTTTACAAAAAGCACTAGAAGAATATATTGAAGAAGACTCTAAAGATCTCAACAGGAATATGGGGTTATTTATATTCAGTAGAAAATAATTTGAGATTCACGGGACAACTGAGAACCTGACAAATGCTCCAAATATACCTAAGTGAAAAATGATTCTGCACAAATTTCTTTAATGGAGCATTGAACAGTGACATTCAATATTTGTGTATTTCATGTGTGTAATCTACTAATATCACAAATATGTCAGGTGAGACCAAGCCCAAAAAAAGGGTTTCCAGTGGATTATTACACAAAACATCCAATTATATGCAAAGGTTTTACTTTCTGTTCATACTTATGAGGCTTTGAGCATCAGTACTGTGCTTTGTTTGATTTCTTTTGCTGTGACAAAAAAATTCCACAACTCTGTGGTAGAGGAGAATTTTATACTTCCTTGTCACTGTCCCATCATAATGGGAAGCCAAGGCAGGAACTGAAGCATGACTGGAATCTGGAAGCAGGCACTGAAGCAGAAGTGAAGGAAAAATCCTGTTTACTGGAGTGGTCTTCATCCCTAAATCAGGTACCTGCCTTACTCAACGTTGGCCCACATCTCTAGGGGATACCACCCATAGTGCACTAGGACACTCCACCTTGATGTGGGTGGATCTTCTATCTATCTGTTGCTTTCATTGGTTGATTAATAAAGAAAATTGCTTGGCCTGATAGGTCAGAACATAGGTAGGCAGGGAAGACAGAACAGAATGCTGGGAGGAAAAAGGCAGTGAGGTAGACACAATGAAGCTCAGACCCAAGATGGACATATTTAGAATCTTCCTGGTAAGCCACCACCTCATGGTGCTACACACTTTAATAGAAATGGGTTAATCAAGATGTGAGAGTGAGCCAATAAGACACTAGAGCTAATGGGCCAGGCAGTGTTTAAATGAATACAATTTGTGGGTTTTTTTTTTTTGGTTTTTCGAGACAGGGTTTCTCTATGGTTTTGGAGCCTGTCCTGGAACTAGCTCTTGTAGATCAGGCTGGTCTCAAACTCACAGAGATCCACCTGCCTCTTCCTCCCAGGTGCTGGGATTAAAGGCGTGCACCACCACCGCCCGGCAATTTGTGTGTTGTTATTGCAGGTATAAACCTAACCATACAGGAGCCAGGTGGTACAAAAAGCAGGCCTGCTCACCTCATCACCACAAGTGGCACCCAGACGTGGATAACTGTATCCACAGAAAGCCGGAGAAAGCTTGGGAAAGAATAGAGTAAAGCATGTTTTCTTGGTAGCAGCAATTTCTCTGGTCTGCTCTGCTTGCTAGAGGCAAGCAAGCGCTCTCATCTAAGAGAGACTTCCTGACTCTGCTTTAGCTGCAAAACCCTGTAGCTCTTTTAAGAGGTCCTGCCACAAAACACTTAAACCGTGTTGACGAAAAGCTGAACACATGCTTTTTGGTTTTCAGCCATAGCAGGAAAAAAGCTGTGCCATTTTAAAATGCCGGCTTTCTGGGCCATCCTGCCTGGGCAAACTCTGACTCTTTCAGGCAGGCAGTCCGACTGAGTGTGGTCTGTGAGAAGAATGCTGCAGTTTGCTTGCTGGCAGTGGCCTTGAAACGCCATAGAGTTGTAGTGATACAAATGGCTACAGCCATGAGGCTGGAAAGCTAAGGAATGGGCTGCATCCAGCCACCAAAGCCACAGCTTTAGTCCTAATGATATTACTTGGTAAATTAAAGACTCATGTGGTCACAAAAGAGACATATACAGTAAAAGAAAGATCAAAGTAGAAGAAAATGTCTAAATGGTTTACAGTGTGCGAAAAATATATGTAGGCTAAAGGTTAAAGTTCTTAAAGTATAAAAAAAAAAGGAGAGAGTAGTTGGGTGTGCTGGTACACACCTTTAATCCCAAAACTTGGGAGGCAGAAGTAGATTGACCTCTGTGACTTCAAGGTTTAGCAGGACACACCTTTAATCCCAATGCCTAGGAGGCAGAGACACTGTGCCAGAGCCTTGTGGGAACGAAGCCGAAGCCGATCCCTCCTCTCTACACACGTCTTTAATACCAGCAGTTGGGAGGCAGAGGCAGGCAGATCTCTGTGAGTTCGAGGCCAGCCTGGTCTACAAGACCTTGTTCCGGGATAAACTCTGTCTCCAAAAAAAAAAAAGAAAGAAAG